GTCGGCCAGACTCACCTCTCCATGACAGTCGACAGCTCTTCCGCTCCTGAGCGACCTCATCTCCACCCACACATCTGCATTCTTAAGCGCGCCCAAGAAGAGCGCATCATCGAAAGCGTCCACAAATGCAGCTCGAATGGGAGGTCTGGTCTTGACCGCCTTCTTCTGCACCCGAGCGTTGCCTTGCTCGTCGGAAGAAGACTCGGAACTGGAAGTCTCTACCTGCACAGCAATGTTCGTATCCGCATCTTCCTCGCCCGCATCGTCCGCATCGAACCCCTGTCCTGCTCCTCGAGCTGCTTTCTCCCTCTCCCGAGAAATTCCCTGATGCGCATCGTCTAGAATGCTCGTGTGGTCCGCGTGCAAGTGCGTGATGAGCGCTGCTGAGTTCTGCAAGGCGCGGACGAGCGAGCGAGAATGAGGGCTGTCAGGTCAAATCACAAACATGCAACGCACATTGGCGACCTTGAGATGACCGCTTCCGCAGTGATGTATGCACCTTGATCCCGCGCGTTTTCGAACAGATTCATCTTGCCTCTCTTCTTGGCCGCCTTCTCATTCTGCCCATCGTCTCACTCACCCGCTCGCAGATAAGTCTGAGCTCCTCGACCCATGCAGTCATTCCTTCGGCCAACAACCTCTGAGGTTCCTTTTGAGCACCGGTCAGCACCAATTGTCTGTCGGCGCCTTGCGAGGTGGAGCTCGAGATTTTCGAGCGAGGCGATGCTGTGCCCCATGCCAGCGTGTTCAGATCGTCCAGCACCACCAAGCACTTTGCAGCGTGCGATGCAGCGTGCCCTTCCTCTTTTGCTGCACCTTGGAGCAAGCTTTCGAGCCTTCTCAATAGCCTGTGAAGCTCTTCTGACCACGCATCCCTGTGTGCCACATGGACCGACCCCGCACTTGCCGCTGTCCAGTGCCCTTCGACATCGTAGGCATCAACCACCTGCACCCTCTCCGCATACCCTTTCCAATCCAATCCCTTGCCGCTCAACCTCTTGCATAGACCCTTGATCTCCTCCGATCCCCTTGCTAGACAGTCAACCCAGATCACTCGTGCATGAGAGAGCGTCGAGGAGGAAGTTGGATCTGGGATGTGAGTTGGGCTGGCTGAAGGACGTGGATTTTGCAGCAGATTTACTGCTGAGGCGCACAGGTATACGTCCGGAGCGCTCGGCCTTGTGCTGCTCAGGAGGAGGTGGGTGCCGGGTGGAAGAGCTGTCCAAGAGATTAGTGGTAAGGCACGCTCCAGCATGTTGACGTCTAGAACAAAGAAGTGCCTTCCGGGTGCAAGGCTGCTATCTCACCGATGCGTGCCAAGCCATGCCGCGAGTCCTTGGCCACCACTATGAGCACGTGAAGCTCACGCTTCACGATCGAGGCGCCAAGTCTTGGCCATGAGAAATGGAGGGACGAAGTCAGTCACGACTTTGGGTGATGGTGAGGGGTGCTGCCTCTCGACTCATGACTTCTTCAGCAGTCATGACTCACAACCTCACGAATCACGAGTCGCGGGGTGTGAGTGGTGGCACCCGCCAAGGAAGGATTTCGCGAGTCTCGAACTACAGCTGCGCACAAACAGGGGTGGTAGAATCTTTCTGCCTCTTCAGGGTCACCTCGCAGCGAGGCACTAGGCTAGATAGAATCTGTTCAAGATGAGGGTGGGGGAAGGCAGGTGTTTAAGAACTTGCCCAGGACGCGTGGGTCGGAGAGGCGAGTATACGTCAGAATCTGCCCGATGCGGGTGCACAGGTAAGACCGATGACCGATCGCCGCTGACCCTCTGCTGCAGGTAAGCGAGCGGCTATCGGACAGACTCGCCGGTCTCAGGAGCATCGCGCTGCTGTCCCAAATCACGAATCACATTCGTGATTTCACATTGTGAATGTGTGTGAATGGTGCCTTTACCGGTGGCTAGGTGGCTGCACGATTCACGATTTGATCACTTCAAACCCGTGACTGAGAACCGGAAAAAAGCTGTGATTGTCGATGCTCCTCCGGTCTGTCGAGCGCCACTGATCCGACCAAACAGCATGTTGTGTGATGTGGGGCTCGTTGCGAGCGTCCCACTGCTGTGGTCAAGCCATGCGTGCAAGTCATGAGTCCAACTTTCGCGGTTGTGGCAGAATCAATCGTAAATGAATCTTGAATCATTGAATGAGTCTGCATCCTTGCTGAGAGCGCGCACGTCAGCACGTTCTGGCCGCAACAGTGGGTGAGTCTTGAGTGAAGCTCTACGGCTGCGCCGATTGCTACATAGCTGAGTTCAGGGCTCGTTCGGGCCTTCGCTAAGACCGCATAGAAGGCGACAATCGCCTCTAGGTGCATTCGGGGGCCATGGAGGACGGCCATGCCAATAAGCAAGGCTCCCGACAAGAAGTACTTGAAAGGGGAGGTCTCAGCAATGAATGCAATCGCGATTACATGAATGGAACACTGGAAGGTGTCTGAGTGACAGTGAAAGAGAGCAAGACCACGAGAGTAATGAGTGAGGTGAACAGTGACTACGCAGAGAGGATCTCCGCTGGCGGACCAGTACCACCTGCGCCTTGTCGCAGGGCCTAAGATCGTGATAGGTGAGAGCGCATGTGTGCAAAATCGAACAGTCAGACTACAACCTTTTCGGTAGTGACGTGGATTTCCGAGAGGGGACCAAATCTGTCTCCGAAGCTGGTTCTAATTGCAGCCGGAGTAGGTGCCAAGCTCGAGCTGTTGAGCGAATATGCCGTCCCATCTGGGAACCTGTCGTTCAAGCTACCGTCGCGTTCAGTTCCCAAGTCTTTTTCTTCATCCCAGGCGAGGGAAGGATCCGAAGTGTAGCCGATGCGAGGCTTTTCTGGCGCTCTAGGCAGAGCTCTGAGGGCGCCAAGGAGAGAGAGAGAGTAAAATTGAGAAATCGGCGCCAGCACGGATCAAGCCTATGTTCACCACTCACGGGATAGATCCATTGTGGGTGGTCTGCTCGCGATGGGGTAAGAAAGGCTTCGTGACGACCCTCCACCATGACACATATTGCGAGCGTGCCTGTGGAGCCCATTTCTAGCGGTGAGCGAAGCGAGCCTCGGAGACGCCGACTTCTAATACTCACATCGGCAGTCAAGCCAAAGATAACGAACATGAAGATGCCCCCCAAAATGGGCAACCATCTGCCAACCTCAACGCCGACCTGCAGCGCGGTGGACATCGAGTCCCATGGAATGAGGTAGACGGTGTTCCATTCATAGTGCACATCAGCCCAGCTGGTGTAGGGCTGGATTGGTGCGGTTGCGTATGCAATACCGAAGATGAAGACGCTCGCTGGGAACGTGATGACAACCTCTGCCCCTGCCAGTATCATAAGTCTGATGTATTTGTTCTGCGGACAATGTTCGTCAGCTGTGGCATAATGAAGTCTTTTCTGATAACGACGACTTACTTTGTTGAGGCCTGAATTGCAGCTCTGTAGCACAGACGTTAGCTGAGCCCTTCGGATCAAGAACCAGCGGAGGACCAAGACTGCACAGAGAAGGCCGACGATGAGTGCTGATCTTATCGTCAACCTTCAACGAGTCACTCACTGGCGTACACAACGCAAACCAGACTGAGAACAAGTTGCCACAAGCTGTGTACAAATAGCTGAGGAATGCTGACGTAGACCGGCGGGTTGCATCCATATGCCGGGATGATGTCTGCGGACGAGGTGAAGTTAGGCTTGTAGCGATTCTACTTGATCGATCAACCAAATGCACTAACCCATGCGATGCCCTTGAATGATGATTCTGAGCGCCAACATAATTAGTGGGATGCCGAATCCTAGAATCAAATCGATGATGAGATTGTTGCGCTTATCCTTCGGTGTCTGAGAAACTTGTCGCGTCGCTGTAGCCAGCAGATATGATGAGCTAAGGTAGCGTCACTTGATCAGAATGCGGGCGTCAAGTGTCTCACCAGCTATAGCTTCCAAGCGGCGTAGCAAAATAAGTGTTCCACCCGTGAAGCCAGGGGGAGCAATGTATTGAACAGCGCCGGCTGCGAGCAGCGACCGTTGTGGGGCGCTTTGTTAGCATTTTCACTTCGAGCTTAGCTCTCAAGCACTTACCAAAGTCACACCAGCGTATGGCGCTGTCACTCCAATCCACCGTAGAAGCGGGGAAGATAATCGCACTTGTTCCCATCGTCAAATTGCACAAGACTGTCCAGAAAATCTACGACGGCGTTTGGCAAGGGTGTCAATGATGGTCGCGAAGATGCACTCATTGCGGACTCACGATCTGCAGACGGAAGACGCTCGTGCACAAAGGGCCATGTTGTTAGCCGGAAGCCTATGAATGCACCGTCTACCCGCCCTTCAGCGCCAGAATACTCACGAACAGAGTTCCTGTGCGTACCGAGCAAGCTATTGTCAGCTGGTTCTCATGACATTGACCCACTCGATTCAAGCACACACCTCGGTTGCGGACTCGCCAGTGCCATGGCAATGGAAGCAGCGTCAGAAATGCCGAGAGAAAAGCAAACGCGATGTACGCGCAATTGATTGCGTGGTGGTCGACCATCGTGCCTTGGCTCAAGCGAGAATGTCGAGAGGCGGAGTTGCGTGAAGGGAATTGGAACAGGGGAAGGTAGAGGAAAGGCTGAGGATCAGAGGCGGAAGGGCTCACATGATGAGTGACGCTTTGGAGCTTTAAAGCCTACGAAGCCCATCAAAAAACCTTCCCTGTGTGTGGTGGTATGCAGTAGTAATCTACGTGGTCGATGGCGCCCATTGTGCGGCAATGTACTGTACACAGTGAGGGTCGCAACAGTAGTCAAGTGTTGACTTCGTGAGCCCAAAACGTGCTCGTCAGCTTCGCTCGGCGCTAGGACAAAAGACCTCGTGGAAGTCTTGCAGCTGCGTGCAGCCCAGCTGGCGTGCACTCTTCACGCTCGCGTCCCGCGGTCTGGCAGAGGAGTGTATGCCTGCTGACAGCTCAAAAGTTGAAGTGCTCTTCATGTTGAGAGGAATACCGCACTACCCCGCCCGTTCCAGAGACAAGGAAACAATGAGGTGAGGTAGGGTGCCGTGGCGAGCCGCAAGAAGGTCTGATATGCAGCGATCACCATATGGACAATAGGAGCTCAAGATTGTGCTCTTCTCACGTCTTACGCTCTCGAGCCAAATGTCGCCGTGGATGCAAGGAAAGACCCACCTTTGTGCCGGAAGTGCAGAAAGGCGGAATCTTCATACATGATTCTCCGCTTTAGCGTCATGCGGGACAAGGGAAGGTCTCGACAGAAAGGTTAGGTGTGGCACAAGAGACGGGAGCAGGCCATCTTACTGCCAGCATGGCGTGGACAAGAATCAAGAATGAGGCGCACAACCGCGCAAGACACTCACACTCGAACAAGGTGCTCACTCGACCCACGCGTGGTGCCGATAACGCTTGCACCACAGCACCTCTCGTCTACAAACCTAGGTATCTTTTCTTGATTCTGATTGCTGCATTTGTGGCTGCACCCTGCTCAGATTGCATGTATTTAACGATTGTGAATGGATGTTTTAGCGCGGTCTCACGCTTCTTGTGCAACATGTGCAGCTTGCATGATGCAGTGTGACATTCAGATTAAGGTAATAATAATAATGCCCTTCAATGACCATCGTGAATCGTGAATGTTAGTTGCTCCTTTGACATCAAAATCACGGAGGCATGAACTCTTGACTTTTGGTGACTTATGACTTATTGAGGGATGCTGCCATAATGGCGACGACGCACGAATCAGTCTTGACTTATGATTTGACCCTTCACGAAGGGTCTCGATTCACGATTGAGACACCGCGAGGCGGAGGAACGCTGTCCTGTATAGTGTAGTACGACTATCACTCTATAGTGCATAAAACTGCATGAAACAACCGGACAAAGGAGGTTGCTGTGGCTGCTGCCTGCGCCTTTGTCCAGGTGTCTGCGCACCATTTTTGAGCCTTGAGTCAGAGAGAGTCACTAGTCACGGGTAGATGGTCAAGTCAAGAGACTGTTCTCGATGATTAAAGATCCGTTATTCACGTGATTGTGTGCTATCTTGAGGCGTCAGCAGACACAGGCCGCAGTCTTGAGTTGTGTCTGATGATGAGTATATGGCAGTTTTCAATGAATCTCACAGCCGCGCGTATAGGGTTGGAACAGAGCAAGACGAGCGCCTGGACGAGGAGGCTTCGCCGCGAGTACGCCGGCCAGATTCTGGCCTAGCAGCAAGGTATCGTTCAGCGACAAGTTAGTAACCAAGAATGATGGGGCAGCCTCAAGGCTACGAACGCAGGGTAATGTGCCACGTATATCCCGCGTATGTAAGTTGAGTCTTTGAGTGGTAGATCATTGTGAATATAAAGGAGAGCTGCGGCGCAGTATGGGGCGAGCTCAAATGTCGACAGATGGCCCAAACGCGCTTGATCTTCCCTTGTCACCTATCTGGCCGTGCGTGACCTTCACGATCGAAGACAGCGCGGCACCAGCCTTGGTAAATCAAAGTCTGTGTGAGTTTTGCGACTTGAGATGCGCAGAGCGCATTTTGTGGAACAGCGTCGCCAACCATGAGCGGTCAAAGAAAGCTGCATGTCTGCCTCATTTCGCAAAGCACCCGACAGCCAAATACAAAAACCGGAAACGCTAGGCCAGTAGCCACGATCGGTGACGAGTCCACCTGGCCGCACACAGCGATATTGATTCTGATTATAGGACTCATTGCTCATTGCGTGGCGCGGCGCGGGCCTCTCGGACGCGTCTGCGCCTGTGACAAAGGCGGAGGGGAGGGAACATTGCAGCTCAGGACAAAGGAATGAAATGCACGACACAGCGGCAAGTCGGCAATTTCTCGCGTTGTTGTTCACGATCTATTAAGCAGTCACAGACAATTCGAGAGAGACAGAGCCTAGCTCCCTAGGTACCGTCGAGACTGGCGCACCAGTCGGCCTCCGTTGTTCCTGACTAGGACAAATGCAGGGCCAAGAGCTAGTATCCAGAATGGGGCGAGTGGCTTGCTTGAACCGCTCCGATGGAAGACCTTGGACGGCAGCAACAGAAATCGGTCGTACGGCGACAAAGGTGCCGGCACCAATGACTTTGGGAAAAGGTGATCTGGGTATTGGCGGTGATCGGCCTCACTGAGCTACATTTAGCTGTAAGCTTTGACAGAGGACCATGTCAGATTGTCCAAAACGTTCAAAAGGCGGCATCAGCAGCTTCTCGAAATCACCTTCGACCCTCATCAGATTCTTCATCTTCGCCTTGCCTACAAACTTCCAAAGACATCACTACTGCCCTGCTGCCACCAGCTTCAAACACTGCCACAATGAACCCACTCTTCATCCAGTCTTCCGTTCAAGCTGCGCCTGTTCAGTCCGAGTCGCAGGAGATGACTCCTCTTGTGGACTTCGAGGTGAGCATGTCCTTCTTTTGGAGCGCCTTTCCAACCGCGGGCTGACGCTTCTGAACACTCGTCCTCACCCGTCTCCAGAAGAAAGGTCCTCCCTCTTCTTCGAGCGGCTGCGTTGTAGCGCACTCTAACCTGGTCAACATGGACGTGAGCACGGCCAGTCTGCGAGGAGCATCATCCAATTTCGGACGCGCTGACGTCGATGCTGCTTTATTCTGTCTACAGCGCAAGGGCCAGCCCACTTACTGCGTGATCGCTTAAGCCTAGAGACAGCTGCGAATGAGGAACCCACTCTATGGACAAGATCTGCGCAGCACGTGCGAGCATTTGGCTCGATCTGCACCTCTCTAAAGCATCTCCGATCTGCTCCGATTCTCTGTCAAGGCTAGGTCATAATTCAATGTCGTCACTCACCCCAGGTTCGAATTCAGCTCGGCAAGGTATCAAGATGAGACTTTCAGGAGGGGTGGAAGGAGTGCTCGGTCGCCAAAGACGACCAAATCTTCTCCGTCTTCGTCTCTTTCGGCTTTTTCATCTCTCCTCCGCCACTTTCCACAATCCTCCATGTCACCCACTCCAAGCCTTCACTCACGCTCCAAAGTCTTTCCCAAAGTGTCCATCTCACTCCCGACTACCCGTTTGGCTGTACTGTCCACTCCAAGCACTTACGGAACGGTTGCTTCCAATGTGATTTCCTTTAGCTCGACCTTCTTCAAGAGATGCACAAGCCTCATCTGACGTTTTAGTCGAACGAAGCCTAGACCCGATTCCTTACTTGCGCAGCTCAATGCTCCCTCTCATCTCGCTCATGTGCAACGGATCATCATTCTCGGCCACCAGTGTTGTGACGTGCGTGTGGCAAGAAAGTGTGCGAG